CCTTCCCTCCCCCCTCCACCCACCACAACAGACTTACCAGCTGGAGGCAGCTGTGTCCTGTTCAACGTGGTAAGGACTGCTGCCTGTTTAGTCTATGGCCATATCTCCAAATTGCACGAATCTTTTCTAAATCAATTCAGAGGCTTCCGATTCAATTCAGAGCTTTTAATTGGTCTCCCAATTTGATTTGGATTCAGAGATTCAGTTGTTGAATCGGGCTGAATCTTCTCCATATCGAATCGGCTACCGAAACTTCACACAGCCCTAATGCTCTGGGTACAGGAAGTGCAGATAAACACTATGCTCATCTGGAAAGTGGGGTCCGACTCCCTGTTTTAATGTGTGCCATCGGGTCATGCAACATTTATATCACTTTTAGCCAGAAGGCACTCTCGTAGCTCAGTGCACAGAGACTTCCATCAGACCAGGGTCCTGTCACAGCACTTCTGCCCCCTCTCTGTCAGCCAAGGGCTCTGGACCTTCCAACGTATTTGAGACCATTCACTGCAAAGACCTGGTTAAGCAGCCAACCTATGGCCTACGGATCACTAATGGCAAAGATGGTATAAAAATGACTGAGCAGAGGTTTTTCACAGAAGCTTTTGGCAAACAGCTGTATGGTAGGCCCAGCACTTTTAAATACCAGACACAGTATCCTTACTAGACACACACACATTATTCTTGTCATCATGGCACCTGTGACACCTGAAAATGTTGGCACTTCCCTTCAAGCAAGATAAACAGCATCTGAGAAAACAGAGCCTGTTTCAAATAAAGACAGCTTAAAATAATATGAAGCCACATATCTAGCTAATAGTCACATATTTCAGATTTGTAAATCATGTCCTACAGGCAGTGACAGGGACAGAGGTCAGTGTTCGATGTTTGTAGAGTGCCTACTACTACTACTACCACCACCATCACAGCCTCTGGGGCTACCTTACACAGTACAGAAAGGACCAAAGGCATTTGGTGGCAGGACTGTGCCGGGAATCAACCCTTAGGGACATTTACAGAACCAGGAATTAGGGACTTTAGGATACCAAGACTTCAAGCATGCAACTAGAGAGGGAGAATGAGCATCCAACACAAGCTCAGATTCTTACTTTTCTAGTTGTACACAAACTCAATTCTTTTCCCCTCTTAAAGCTGCCAAGTGGACCAGTCCTCTCCTCATCCCTGGGCACCAGCAGTGCTGAGAAGTGAGGTCTCCCACCCGCAAACCATGTGCCCATGGGGCATACCAACTCCCTGACCAAGGTTGAAAAGTTGGGCCAGTCTCTTCTTCCCTAAGGAGCACCACAAGCATCACTCCTTTCCTGATCCCCAAACACAGCTCAGTCTCAACAGGTCCCTGCTGTTTTCCTTGGTACCCACTCTTCTCACAGTTCACCTCTCACAAGCAATTCTTTGCTGTTTTATGGACCCTAAAACGGTCCAGAATGAGATAAAACAATGCAGCAGTGTTAGCACAAGGGAAAAGAAGTATCGTCTTTTAAGATAACACATCCAGATCCTTATCAGGAGCAGGAAACTGAGAGGAACACCCCTCTGCCTCAGTTCAAAAAGCCAGGGGGAGCATCTACAATAACCAACAGGATAACTTTAAGGAGGAGTTTCTTAGGTCTCTATCAGGGAAAGAACAAGGCCCTGGTCCCAGACATGCTGAAGCCAGGAGGGAGGTTGTGGGGGGCTGAGAGCAGGGGCACAGAATGATGCTAAGCTCTACTGAAGTGTTCCTTGGACCCAAGCCTTGCTCACGATGATGTGGGATTTACAACCCACAGCAGAGCTCTGTGGGGATGCTGTTGTCTGTGCACACCCAGCCAGGCAGTTACTCTCCTTGGGGCAGGCAGGAAGAAGGACATTTTCTCTAGGGAGCGCACAGTACAAGCTGCCCTGTCACTGGAGAGGGACTGCTTGAGGATCTGAACCCTCATCAGGCACTAAACAAGCTAGTGAAATCTATCCAAGTGCCTCTTAGTGGAGGGGTCCATGCTCCAGTGCAGAAGGGCACAGAGCTCTAGTATGCACACAATTCATGCTACCAACTCCACCTCCACAACTCCCCTTCCCCTATCCACCCATCTTCCTCCAGAGGCCACCTCCAGGTGGTAAAGTCAACACCTATTCCCCCCTCCCCCTAAAGCTGTGGGAAAAGGAGTCTTAGTCCTAGTCCACCTTCAGCCCAAGGAGCGTCCCTGGACTCTGTGCTGTGTGGGTTCTGGGAGGCACTGGATAAATGTGGAGATCCCACTCAACACTTCTGAATGCTGGAAAGGAAAAAGTGCACTCTCACCCTATGTCACTCTCAGGGTCCTAGCTGCTAACTGCATAGATAAGAGGGTCCATGTCACTGCCTCTACTGCACCGGGGGCCTTACTGCTATCACAGCTTTGCAGAGTGGCAGCATCACAGTTGCTCCTATTCTTAGTGATATGACTGCCACCTGCAGTTTGCAGAGGCTACAGCTGTACCAGACCCACATGCATGCAGCCTCAGGCAGGCAGGTCTTCAATCTTCCACACTGCATTAAGACTTAAGTCCAGGGGATCCATGCAGGTCACATCTGCTCTGTGAGCAGGGACAAGACTGAACATTCAGATCCCAATTTTCTCTTACTTCCATGAGAGGCAGCCTTTCACATGGCTCAAGCAACTGCACAGGAGAAAATGCAGTGCAGGGAGCCTGCAGCCAGTCCCTTTCACAGCAGCAACATGGCTGCACAGTTCACCAATCCAAAATGAGCCCTAGGACAGCACCCTCATCTTCCAACAAGCCTGATGCTTGTCTTCTGCACCCTGGCACCAAGAAAGCTACCTCCTTGATGTTACTGGTAACTAAGGGGCTACTTTCAGCAAGCATGAGAGGAGGTGCTGCAGCTGTATGGTGAAAGCAGGTCTGCCTCCTGCCATGGGAAGCAGAGGTACCTTGTTTGGCAGGATCCCCTCCCAGAAAAACAGGCATAAGGGCTTTTTAAGAGCATGTAGTTTCATTCTACAACAACAGTGTTTCTTCTCCTCCCAAAAGGCTCCCAGTGAAGTCTAAGTGCTCATTAAGTGTCTGGCTGACCCCTGAGCCTGCCAGACTCAAGCATGGAAACCCACCCAGCCCTCTGCACTGCTAAAGGAGGTGACAGCAGCTGTTAAGTCTCCTAGCAGCACAGGGAAAAACCATATTCACAGACCAATGGATGACACGGGATTAAACAGGCAAACATGAGGGAGTCTGCATGGACAGATATAGTATTTTGAAAAGGGGATGGGTGCAACAAATGGGAACAGCAGTACAATGCTCTGGGCAAACGCTCCAGCTCCCAATGCCATCCCCACCTTGACCCACCCGTGGCCACATCCAACACGAGCTGCTCCACCAAGCACTGCAAGGTGCTCGGGCTGGAGATGGAAGATATATGCCAGTGGCTCCAGTTCCCCACAGCCCCAGACATCAGGGACCCCTGAGGAGTGTAGGTAGGAGGAACTGAGCTCAAACTATGGAGGAGATTGGGGCAAAGCATGGCCGGAACTCTTGGGCCGGTGAGGGACGTTTTGGGTTTTTTTGGTGGGGGGGATACAGGGAGCAGGGGCAGGAAGTGGCAGGGCAACCCCTGCCCTAGGACCAAGGGGTTTCACCCTGCCAGCCCAGTGCCCAGCACCACGTCCTCTCGGACTTGCAAACCGTCCCCAGCAGCAGGGACCCTGCAAACTGGATGGCATTGATGTGGGCTGGCAATGCGCAAGCCAGAAGAAAACCCAGCTCACCCTCCCAGAGCTCTGCATACTCTCCAAAGGTCAAATAGAACTCAAGTGCTTGTGTCTGCCACTGAGATCAGGAGACAAGCGCCTCGCTGCCCATGGGGAGCTGGTCGACCGGAGTCAGTGAGTGCTGCGCTTGCAGCTGCCTCTCTTAGCACACCTACATTCTAAGAGGTAGTAAGGGATTGGTTTGCCTGAAGGGTGACAGAGGGCATCCTCCACAATGGAGAACCTAACCTAGGACCTAAATGAATCTGTCTGCTATGACTGTACTGTCTACTGCAGCTGTCCCAGCAACAGTCTTACAAAGTAACTCCTACTCAGAACCTGCTGGTTCCATTTCCACTGTAACTCTGCGCCTCCTCCCCTCCCAGGAGGAAGGAGAAGCTTGGGGTGAAAGAATGGAAGCTACCCAGGGGGTTACAGGCCTTCTCATAGAGGATGGGAACCTGCCAGGCCAGCATGTCCATCCCTGATGTCTTTGCCAAAGAGTCCCATCAGCTGCTTTTGGACAATGCCAGCCCTTCTCTCCCAGTGGCATTTGGGGAAACACCTCTTCCCTAAGGACAGGACAGCGAGCATCTCTGAAGAGGGAGGGGCAGCTAGCAGCTTTCATGTTTAGGAGAGGTTTTGATGGCAGTGCCCTGCACTGAGGCTAGAGCAGAGCACTGGCAGCAATGCTACATGTATGTGCACACATGTGGAGAGGCAGGGGGCTGGGGAAAGGAGGAGGATGGGTTCTATTCTCAAACACTACTGCCAATATTACTCAAGGACAGGCGATGAGGTAACTGAGGCTGGTTTCAAAGCATGCAAATGCTGTGCTCCTCACGCACAGCCTTTGTAGGACTGGCTAGGAAATGGAACAGCCATCCTGAGAAAATATGAGTTTTTTTCAATAAATTAATATGCTGAATCAGAATGAAAACATCAAACAAATATTCAGATTTTCAGGCAACTGACATTCCAATGCATTTCACCCTGGAAACACAGAAACACCCACTCAGAAGGGCTTTCTCAATACCTCCAAACTGAAATGTCTCCCAAATTGACTTCTCCCAGCGGAGCTAGGTCATCCGCTTATTTGCCAGGCATTTATCTTGTGTAGTCCCCTTGTAGGCAGCCAGGAGACTGGGAAGGTTAGCAGGAAACCAGGTTTCCCTCTTTATCAGGGGTGTCCAACCTTTTTGAATGTGGGGCCGGATCACAAACTTTTTATCACCAGTGGGCCGGCGAGCCATATTCAAAGACCTCACAGGAAGCAGTATCACATCAGGAAGTGATGTCACGTGACCTTTGACACCAATGAAGTTGCAGGAAGTGACAATGAAATGGGTCTGGAAATGTGGTTTAAAATCCAAAATAAAAACAATATAAAAGCAAGAATGAAATAATACCAAACACTTGACTAAAATAAACACTTTCGCTTCTACTCACTTCTCTATGAATGAAAGAAGCATAATGCAGGCTTGCCCCTGGGACACCTGGGCGAACAGCACCAAGTAGAGGAAGCCATGGAGGAGCAGCCGGCTGTTGGCCTCCAGCAGCAGCGAGGAGCAGGAGGAGAAGCAGTGCCTCAGGACGCTGTCTGGCTCCATTGGGGACGAGGAGCCCAGTCTTCCCACATGGCCACGTGCAGGCAGCCTGCCTCCCTCCTCCCATAGAGGAGGAGGTGGAGGAGGAAGGCATGAGTGTGACCTTGTGCTTCCCCCTCACGAGCGCATACACGCGTGTGGCACCCCTGCGCGGGCTCCTCAGCATCCCGCCCAGGGACATGGCAGCCATGTTTCATGCTCGCATGCTCATCCCCACACCGTACCACACCACCCTGCCCCTTCCCCACCGATGCAGTGCAGACCGCCCATGGCACGGGGCTTAAAGGACCCAGCCCGGAGCCAGCAAAAAAAAAAAAGGGGCTTCCTCTGCTGGGGAGGGAGGGAGGCGGAGGAAGCGAAGGCAGCACTCACACGAGGACATGCGAGCCAGGCATGGGGCAGCACCCAGGCAGCTCCTGGCTGCAACTTCTCTGCCTGCCACCGGGAATATGAACAACGCAGGTGAGCATGGAGCAGAGCAGGGGCCCCAGGATGATGCCTCCTTCTCCCCAGCCACAGCCCCGAGGGGCAGAGCCAGGTGCAAGCAGCGATTTAGCAAGAGGGAAGTTGACCGGAGAGGGTCTGGGCGGGTTTCATCCCCGCTCCCCTCACCCCGCGTGTGCCCGGCCAGGCTCCGCTCACCACCCACGGTGCTGGCCAGTGCAAGCTCTGCCCGGGACCGCCCCACGCCGCACCGATGACCCATGCTTTCGCTGCCGGCTACTCCCCTTCCCACACGCACGTCCGCAACGTCAAGCTGACGCAGTGCATGTGGGAACCTTGTCCTTTCCCTAGCCCTTCAGCAGCCATTAGGAAGCTGCTGAGGGGCTGGGGGAGGGACAAGGGGTGGGAACGAAAGTAAACAGCATTTACTTTCGTTTCCCGTCGCAGCACCGCGGGCCACAGAAAATGGCTTGGCAGGCCACATGGCGGCCCATGGGCTGTATGTTGGACAAGCCTGCTCTAAAGTTTCAATAGATTTGGTACAGTCCTACAAGACATTTTGATTCTATACAATCTGCCTTTTCCAATGGAAAATCTTCCAACAAAAGTTTTCAGCTGCTCAAGGAGTCTGCCAGTACCAGTAACTGGTTAGATCTTTTATCAGTAGAACAAGTAGTAAGGAGAGGAGTAGTGACAGATTCCCAACCACATTCACCATGAAATCCCTGCTAAACAGGAAGGATTGGAATGACATCACATCCGTAGCACAACAGTAAATTCAGAACAGGAGTGAACAACACTGATTGGGATTTAAAAAAATAAATAAATCAAGGTTTGATGACCATCTAAACTCATGATTATAAGTGCCACAGAAGATAGAGCATGCATTTGTGAGAGAGCAGGTGTGCACATCGCTGAGTTAAGGCACTTCCAGGTTACCAGACGGTTACTGTTTATTTGCTCCTGGGGTGAAAACAGATATCACCCATCACATTTGTGACACCATAAAAATTTTTATGGCACGCAGATGTTGAGCAAATAGATGTCACTATCTTTTGTCATGCCACATCAAAGGAAAATCAGTGACATGAAAAAAGGCAGTAACAGACTTTACTGCTTTATTGCAACGGACATCAGCCTGAGCTGCTTGCACTCTACAGCCACATCAGGCAGGTGTCCTGGAGGGAGGTGAAGGGGGACCTCAAGACCCTGGAGCACTTGCCTGGCATTCCCTGCTTACAGGAGGCAGCATCCTGGAGATCTCCATTCAGCCAGAGTTTCCCTGCATGATTGCATGAGTGAGTCTGGCTGAGTGGAGAATCCCAACTTCCCTATCCCCACTCAGCCAGACTCACTTTCCTCACTCAGCCAAAACCACCTGCACAGATTATATTGCTTTTTGTCCCACATCAAGGGTGGGAAAAGGGGCAACATGTATTTCACACAATGAAGCACATCAGCTGTACCCTTCAGACAAAACACACATTCCAAGACACATCGTGGCACAGCTAATCCACTTCAAATCGGCGACATCTCCTTCTAGCCCTAGTGTCAGATAGCTACAAGTGACAAAGATTTTTTGTGCATTCAATATAATCTAGCATGTGCCTGCCAAGATCCTGCCAGTTCTTTTATTCCATCTTAACCTCTGATATACAAAATCCAGTATAAAAGTGGGTTCATTTCATGTATACTTATAACCTTGTGGTCCAAAAGGCTTCTCTCTACCTCCAGGCTCAGTAACTTGAGGCCCTACCGTTAGATAGGTGAATTCAGACCACATAAAATGCTTTCCTCTATTAACAAGCTTCGTCACTTATCCTTCCACCAAATTGCTCAAGAAGCCTTTGCACAATGTACTGATGAAAGAGTCATTACTAGCTATTTTGCTTCACTGCTCTGATTTTAAAGCAATATGACTATTTCTAGTCACATAAGAAAATCTCACAGAGCAACTTGCCTGGCAACCTCAAACACTCACATGTGCAGGAACAATTCCAGGGAACCCCAACAGCAGCTCATCTCAAAAGACCTTCCTTCAGGCATGCCTGAAAGAAACAGTACTGAATATTTTTACATTCACCAAGAGGTCCAAATGGGTGCACAACAGGCAATCAGTGGGTCCATGAGTTTCAATCTCAGTGTTTTGTCTCCAGCCATGAATGCTGCCACCTGATAGCCACTTCCCATCCGGTCATCCATGACTTTCAGATTGCAGCGTACACTTCAGTTCAAGGATACCTCAGGGGAGAAGCATTCAGCTGTGTGCCCACTTGAAACAGTTCAGAGTTCCAAAGTCTGGTGTTCCTGTCAATGCACGACTCCAAACCCAAGCAGACAGCAGTGCTACAGATTGTCCAGCCACACCATGGTTTCACATTCTGCCCGATATAAAACCTTCAGCACTGGTGCTTCCATTCATCTGGAGGAGAGAAGGACAAAGAAGCAATAATGCAGTAAGAGTCTGTTGTGGTATATAGTGCTCATGATATATAGCTTAATATACATTCCATTTTCTTCCAATAGTCAAAACATGGTGGATATTCAGTCATTTAAATAACGCAGTCCTTTTTTGGAATAAAGCTATGCGCAAAGTCTTCATTTGCTATGGATTTCCTGACAGCTAAGTCATAAGTACAGCCACTATGGAACTGGGGCACTATTGCTAGATGCTACAGAAGGCAGACTGGAGATGAACTGAACTCATACTTGCAGCAGAACTCAGAAGACATGTGTGTTGCACCTCAAATCAGTTTAATATGTTGGTACCTCAGGTTAAAAAATTACCCTAACAATTTACTAATCTCACACATGCAGAAGAACAGAGCAGGAATGTGTAGCTGCGATTCAGAGTTGAGCTTCAGAAAAACTAAGCACTGGCTCTCACTACAGGTAGAGCAGTGTTTGAAAGTCCCATTCACATAGTTGGAATGCAGGTCATCCTATAAAGCCATTTAAAACAGGACCTGCTATGGGGGCTGATGGTGGAAATATATAGTGTTTGGAAGTAGTTTCAGATTATCTTAAAGCAAGAGTGACAGTAAGGATGGTGACCCAGGAGAGCACAGTTGGCTAGCTGACATTCTCTTGCCAGCTGCAGAGACAGCATGTTATAATTGGGACAAACCCTTCAGTTACACCTCCTTTGCAAGGTGACCTAAGCCCAGCCTCTCCATTGTTGCTAGCATGGTTTTACTCCTGATCATCCCCAAGCTGAGCTGCCAGCACCCACTAAAGTATCTGTACTTCTCAGATATAAGCAGAGCAAGGCCTAGACAACTTGCAGTTCACTAAGTGGGCACAAACTGCAGGTGCAATGACTGTAAGGGAAAGCTGCTATTTCCAAAATCCCACCCTTCCCATCAAAGAATATTCACTGCTTTGCATAACAAGAAACAGAACTGTGCCTCAGACATATTTCTTATACAGCAAAACAAGATTAAGGAGGACACATGGGGTTTTGCCTTACTGTACCTTTGTTCTTGGAATGGGGTGTCCATGTCCCACAAATAATTAGAACTGTCCCTGGGCTGTGCGGCTGCTACTTCTCAAAAAGGCTTAGCGAGGGCTTGCTGTATTTAGGGTTTTGGTGTGAACTGAAATGGGGGGGGTCAGGGCTTCTCTCAGGGCTCACTTGGAACAAGGGCTGATCACGGTCGGGGTGGGTGGGTAAACCAGGGCGACGTTCACTCGCTCATTGCCATTCTTCGGGCAGATGATCTCTGTCACTCCCTCTGGTCGCGGCTGACTCAGCAACTCTCCTGCAGGAGGGAAAAGAACACATGCTAAGCATCACAAGACGCGTAGTTTCGCTGAGACCCAGAGGGGAGCATCTCAGACCAACATCACCAAGCATCCTAGAAGGAAGTTTGTTTTTTAACCCATCCAAATTCTCCTCTGTGTCACCATGGCAAACATCCTAGTCAAGAGGCTGCTCCACACAAGGGCAGCATCTGCCACTGCTCCCCTCCCCTCCCTCACATTACCACAGACTGACCCAGGAGAACAATCGGGGACCCACTTCAATTGACAATGTCTAGAGACAGGCTAATGAGGCACAGGCTATGGAGTAGGTGTTCCTAATTGGGATCTGGGGTCAGCTGGGACCTGAAATTTACTTTCCAGAGCTCTGCGTGAATGAACCACACTGCAGTCAACAAGGTAACTGGCAGATGGCTGGACAGAAATTATTATTCATGGGTACGCAGTACAGCGATGACACTCTGCACCCATCCCCCCTCCTCCCCCCCGAAATGCAACCCGAGGCTGGAAGAGATCAGTATCAGTAAGCAGGAGTGTTGTATATAGCCCACAATGGTCCTTTGCGCTGTGCTCATTTCCTGTACCGGCCCTTGTTTGGTTCATCATACAATGGCAAAGCATTCGGCAGCTGCTGTGAGATAACAGCAGTGCATTTCTAGAGGAGTGCTAGCCGGCACACCAAGTTTCGCTTCAACCGCTCCCCCCTGCACACCACTGAAATACATTTTTCATTTGTTTAACAATGATGGGAAATGGATTACACCAGACATGTCTTGCATGCGTACTCATCCTTTTAAAGCCTCTATTACTTGCCACTATCAGAGACACGGTGCTGGATTGGACTGGATTGGATCTGACCCCATTATGGCTCTTAAATGTGGCTCTGCATTTGTCCCATTACCGATGTCTAAGCTACAGGATTCAAGGAAGGGCCTCAAACCAGCTGCAGTCAAGTGAAGAGAAGACAACAAAAATAAACCAAATGAAACAATCTTCAACTGTTAAACCCAAGGATGAAGAATCCATTCTAGCAATGTTTTCCTCCTTTTACTTAGGGTGATGCAACCTTAATCACTGCTATTAGGGACCACTTTTTGCATTCAAACCTATACCACAGCAATTTCAGAACTGGCACGTGAAGGGATCTGCTGCTAGCTGGTCACTGGGTGCCACTTCCTCTGCATTTTCGGCAGCCGAAATCAAGAGGCTGGAAATGCATTAAATGACTTTCCCAATTTTCTTTTCTTTACAAGACACTTCTACAGCTGCAGTGGGAATGTTACTGGTACTACTACCAGTAGAGGTCCATGCCATCTTGAATGGGAAGGAAGTTGTGCGTGTGATGTGCTCTCTATTCAGAGACTGTGCAGGGCATGGAAACTCCAGATCTAAGCCACCTAGTTTCTGCTGCATCCTCTGGCCTGGAAATCTTGGTGGTGTTTGTTATTAGTCTGCTCAATGTCCAGTCTCTTCTATGTTGTTTAAGTAAAAAGAGACTAGAAAAGAAAAGCTGGTAAGCCCACAGTACACATTCTCAAAATCTTCCCGGTGAGGCAGGAGACATTTTACTTTCCTAGGCAGTTTGATTTAACTAATTTTGTTAGGGAGGCTGGATCAGCTTTTAAATCTGAAATACACCCAAGTCAAATCTTGGGGTATGTTCAGCATCATTTCAAATTCTTACTGTTTTTCCAAGACTAAACTAAGGCTAGTCTTTACTCTGAAAGAAAGCAGTTCTCTCATAACCATGTTTTTATTTTAACCACTCAGCTAGTTTCTCACAGTGTATGGGTGTACCCAAAACTGTTCAGTTCAAGGTTCATGTCAGGCTACACTTCAGCAATACATCCTGCCTAGACATTGCTCCTGATTTCCTACATATGCGTGTTTCACAGTGAAGAGAAAAAAACCTTACCATTTAACTATTTCAGAATAGCCAAGCTCCCCTGGCCCTTTGGTGCCTTATCACAATGGTTCAATCCTGTTTTTAAGATCACTATCAGAGGTAGCAGACCACAGAGGTGATATACCATGAACAGCATGAAGTTGTTATGCCCGTCCATAGGTGGGCTGACAGGGTGGCAGGGACACAGCATGGACTGTAGTCAGCACTCTAAGTGCCCATCTCACTTGACACCATGTCTCCACTTTGGCGTAGAGGGAATCGCTTCTAGTAGTGATAAGAAAATCAACCACTGGGTCCAAAAAGCACTTGCCCTCTGCTTCATCTACCAGCATACAGTCGCAGCCACCAGTGGTTCATGTGAGGCAGACATCTGCCAACAACAGGCACCAACAGGATCCCCAACTCTTGTTACAAAGGCCACTGAGCAGGCTGCCACAAGATTAAGTTACTCCTGACCTGGATCAGGTCTGAATCAGCAACATACTTCACATCCCATTATAACTTACTAAGGAGCCCCCATGTGCTGCCCTTTTCACATTATTAATGCTCTAAGCTGTCCAGGTCCTAAATTAATCTATCATTAAATGCTCTGACAATAAAACATGTTGTTATTAAATGCTCATATAAAAGAGTTCCCAGTCCATGACAAGGGACTACAGAATACAAACTGCACCCACTGATATTTTCAAAAATACCGAAAAAACACCGGACTAAACAATAGCACTGTTGGTGGTACCACAGTGACACAACAAAGCTTGATTTAGCTATCCCAGGAGTGTCCAAATACTGCAACCTTTTTCTCCCTATCGTTACAGATGCTTTAGTAAAGACACGTGCATAATTCTTGCTCTTAAAAAAAATAAATCAAGTACACTAGTATAATTCCTGTACAACTGTTACTTGTAACAGCAGAGGAGGTCAGTAGATCCCAGCAAAAACTGCAGATGCACATTTTCCATTACAGACTTTTCTTTTCTTGTTCCTATTGTTTTAACGAGCTGGTGGTAAATAAAGTGTTCCCCTAGTAGTTGGTGTACAGTCCATTTAACTTCAAGTTAGTTTTCATATTAGTGCTAGTGTCTCATACCTGTACTTCAGCTTCAGATACTACAGCTGCTTTTAAGCCACACAAACATTTTTCTGCAATATTAGAATATTAATTTCCTATTTTAAATACAAATACCTCTATGATGGCTTGGATAAAGGTGATCCTACTTCACACAGGGGGTTGGGATAGATTTCTAAAGGTCCTTTCCAGCCCTACTTTTCTGTGATTCAACATTTCCACATTTCCCTCAGCACCTCTGACAAATTCCATTATCTGCAAAGCTGGAAAAATGACTGCTTAGCATCTCTTCATGATATAGCTGATACTGTGGTGAAGGACAACTGCAACAAACTTGAGTTAACAGCCCATGTACAAGGCCTTAAGAAAGAAGTCAAACAGAAAAAGGAACTATTTGCAAATCACATTGCCTTTAATAGGTCAAATATTCATAAAAAGTAGACTGTCGGTCTAGGAGGCTAAACACCTTGCGCCACCCATCCTCACCACACACTATTCCCTTATATTGGTGTTAATAATTCCATCTGTAAAGTTCACCCATGCAGTGCTCTGACCTGCAGCAGTTCCCACAATCACAGCCTCATTTTTGCAAGATTGCACACTTCTAGACCAATGATGCCTAAGATATCCAGCCCCGCAGGTTAGATCCAGCACACAGGACTGGTCCCCAAGCCAAATCCAGACTGTAGAGTCACATCACCTGCCTTGTGTGGCTGGAATTTAGTAGCAGCAGCATTAATTGCCATATTACTACTTCTCTCATTGCCAGATTACTGGCCCCACAGGCAGCCCCCTGGGCCACATGATGCATGGGGTTTGGCCCACAAGGTCCTCAGAGGTCTAGAAATTCATCCCATGTCTCCCTCCCAGGTACATGCACAAAATGTCTTATGTTACTACAAAAGACAAGGATTGTTGTGGGTGATTTTATATGGGACCAACTGAGAGAAAGATAGTTAGCCATGTCAGTTGAAAGTCAGGCAGAAGGCAGTGTAGATCTGCACCTTACAGACTAACTAAATCGGAGATGAAGAGCACAGGCTTTCATAAAGCAGAGGGCTTACACATAATCAGATGCTGTGAAGAGACGTTTAGGGGCAGACTCAGATGAGCTTTCAAGTGCAGGGTGTTCTTCTTGCCATATATTACTATAAAGCAGAGTCAGATCACGTTTGCTGTTGTTGTTTGTTTTTTAATACATCACCCCAGACAGTTGGAGCAACTCTGTTTCTGCCAGGATTGTTCCACTCCCATTTGTTTCTGTAATGGCTTGCCCCTCCTCTTCCCCTTGCACACTTCCCCATCCGTCCTCACAGTTGCGAGTCTGCCACTTGGTTGATTTTTGATGCCAGGAGTAACATAAATATAAACCCACCTAAGAAAGGAAAAATATTCCATGTTCCCTCTCTTCTGGATAAAGTTCCAGCAGACTTGGCAAGGCATTAGACATGCTTTGCAGATCAGTCAGGAGGGGGTCACTTTGAGTGAATGTGCCCCTCCTGTTTTCAAAGCACATGAAAACCTCAGGCCCTTGGCTGGCTGCAGCGTTTAGCCAATCACTCTGTATTTTGATAATGCATTCTTTCAGAAGCATGTCACACACTCTTTACTGGAAACCTCCCACTCAGAAGGGTCATACTGCAACCAATGCATAAAACATTAACTGAAGTGCTGTTCTATTCTAGCCTTCCTTTTCACATTATCAAATAACCTTCCTTTTCACATTATCATATGCAGAGAGACAATTAAGACTTTAAGTGAAACTCCGTTGTTAAGTGAAATTGCTTTGGCTTTATGTATCTAAGTCTGCGCTGTGCCATTAAGGATCCAATCCATTGTCACTAAGTAGTGACAATTGACCTGCCCAACCCTGACTATGCTGTCCTGGTTGAGACACCAGCAAGCATGATGCAGCACATCAAGAATGAGGGCACTCCTGTTGGTCACAGTAAATGTGTCATCTGGACATGACTAATATGGGAGTCTCACTGAAAGCAAAAGGCCAGATACCAGGAGTATAAGCATCC